AACGACCAGAAACCGCCCAGGAAGTAGGAAGGCCGAGCGTGCAGCCTGATGTCGTCTGATCACCTCCTGGCTCGAAGCCTGGGACATAAGGACGCGGGGCCCCAGGTACCGCACCTCCTCCTTCAGAACCCCAGAGATGAGAGCCCGTCCAGACCCACGAAGCCAGCGACGACAAGCCATGGCCCCCTCCCCTTCAAGCCAGACCGCCAGCTCTTGTTTCCCCCGATTCTGTTGGCACCCACATTCCTGGAAGTGAGAGTCTAGCAAATCGTCTGCCTCGCGCAACTTGGCCCATGAGGTCGCCCTGAGCGATCAGGGTGTAGCGATAAAGGTCGTCCGCATACTTAAATAGGCTAAGATCAACTTCCTGACCTTGCCACTCAGCGAGTAAAAAATGCAAAGACGGGTCAGCGGTATAGAGCGATTCCGTCCATTGCTGCACTGGACGCTGAAACGTAATAGAGAACGCTGCCACCATGAACGGATCACCCATCACTCCTCCCACCCTGGTCTTGACCGCCACATCCCCCTCATCACTAGGTAGTAAAAACACAGCATCACGGTAGCGTTTCTTACACAGCAGCAAATTCTCATCAGAAACATGAAAGGCCATACTCGTATCCATGGCCGTCCAGGAGGTGCTAGCAAACGCGTTACTCATATCCTTGAGGCAAGCCCCCAAGCTCCATCCCGCCTGTCGTGATCTCCACCCAACCACTTGAGATGCCAAGACAGCCCCTTCCCTACGACGGTGCCTCTGGAACCCATAGCCCTCGGGGGGGAGCTCGTTGGGGGGGAAATCGGCGAAGAAGGCTTTGCCCACGACGGGGAGGACGTGGACCACACGTTTCCCACGAGGCCCAGATTGGGCCGACTTGCGCAGAGCGCATCCCCGACTAATACTCCAGTAAAGAGGGGCCATGTCTGCGATTCGCACTTTCATGAAGGCGTCGAGTAGCACCTCAAAAAAGAGAGTCGGCCCCACCGGTGCACGCTGAGCGCCGAGGCCGGCGCGTAGACCCTCCAGGCCCACATCGGGGTGCAACATCTGCCACCAGAGCTCCAGCGGGGCGGTGCCATCTGGGACGACCCGTCTCTTGGAAGCCTTGCGCACATACTTTCGGAGGCGTTTGATGTCCTCCAAAGCCAGTTCCCTGAAACGAGGATCGTAACGGGCCATATCGTTGATCTGGGCGAGATCAAGGTCGTCCCTCTGGTTTCGCCACTGCTCCAAATCGATAGGGATAACTTTCATGCCCCCCTCCCCTCCAGGTAACTGCCACACACCCAACCACTCCTGACGAGAGATCGGGGTAGCTCCAGAGCGTCGCCCATCACGTTTGTTGGAAGAAAACCTACAGCGAGCCGCCCCCCTCGCCCACCCCATCGCCTCCGAAATATTTCTCCTGGCCCATGCCTCGCTGGAAGCCTGAACAAAGGAAGCCCTCTCCGCCCTCATGTGACGTTGTCTAAGTAGACGCATCCTCTGCGATACATCGCGGAGCTCCTCTTCAACAGCTGGCAAATCCGCGGCTTGCATACGAGAAGCGCGCAACTCAATGCGCTTCTTCAAAAGCTCGCGGCACAATGCGGCCCAATGAGAGCAATCGTGCGGCACGTCCGTATCTTCGCAAAATAGTTCCGACCCCACCTCCACCAATCCCTGTTCTAGAAATCCGAAACAGTGGTCTGGAGCGTCCTGATCATGAACCCGTATCCTATCCTCCTCCCGCTCCCGTATCCACTGCTCCATTCCCTCCACAAAGGCGATACGCTGAGATCCAGAGCGGACGGCAAGCATAAGAGAAGAAGTATTCCAGCGAGCCCGCTGGACAGGGACACATTCCTGGGGTCCTTTAGGATGACGTAGCTCCAGGTATAGGGGGACATGATCTCGGGGGGGCGCCCACCCTGGGCTTCTAGTTGCGCGCCAATCCGTCGTAAAGCATGGCATCGAGCCAGGCGAGTGCCCCACCCCTGCGGGATAAACAGGAAGTCAATCAAGCTCGAGGGCCCTTCGGGTCCGTCACCGTAAAAAGTTGGATCAAGAGGGCCCAAAGTACTCGCCGCAATCATATGGTGCTGCTCCAGCAGATGTGCCACTGACTCTCCTGCTCCCTGCCTCCGCCTCTCCCTCGTACGTGTCTGACCCACCGCACTGCTGTCATACTCCTCCCACTTCCCCTCGATGCGACGACAGCCAAGCCCATCGTTCAAATCAGCAAAGAAAATGGGCAAGCAACGCGCTGGAAGTTGGTCGAGACATTCTCGCCACCACTGGGTCACTCTGGCAACCGTCTGCGTGTACTTCGCCCCCGCCCCTTTCCCTCGAGGTTGAGGAGGAAAGTAGAGGACCCCAACACATACGTCCACTATGTTGTGTCGAATGCGAGCGGCGAGACAACGACCCCAGAGCTGAGGCGGGCTGGAGAACACCCGACGTACATGATGGTTTCGAAACTCTCGGCCTAGTAAAATGGACACACCTGCACTACGATTAGTGTACAAACCTGATGATACTGCTGCCTCAAGAACCACTCTTCCCTCCACCTTACGTTGAAGCACCTGTTCCGACTCTCTGCACACGTCCTGGGTACCCGCCAGCAAAGTGAAGCCCAGATTCTTCGTGCAAGCGGCGATCTCCTGGAGTCGGCAGCCAGTGCCCCACATGGGGTTCCAGCCGAGCACCCGTAACCTTGACATGGTCGGCGGCGCCCCATCATCTCGCAACGGCCGCGCGGCCGTGGGTGCCTGGAGGCATTGAATTCGCGTGCCTCTGGCCCGAGGTCCTGGAACCCTCGAACCCAGGGGCTGGAGGAGGAGGAGGAGGAGGACGAGGAGCAGAAGGAGGAGGACGAGGAGAGGGAAGAGGAGCAGGAGGAGGAGGAGAAACGAAAGGAAAGAGGAGAGCAAAGAGGAAGCGCGGGCCAGAGCACTTTTGTCCGCGTGGGAAAAAACGTTCGGAACCGCGCAGCGAAGCGACCCCGTCGAGTGCGTCGCCCAAGTGCGGAGCCGCTCAGCAATGATGTTTACATATGTTGGCCACGAGACGCCATGGCAATGGCGACTTTGCGACCATATCAACGCGGCAGCAATTGCATGGCAATCCGCAGTACATCACAATAACATCAACGTCGTCGTCCACGCGACCGCCGAGCACATACAGTGCGGGTGCGACGGAGCAGCACATCGCTCAAAGAGTTTGCCGCACGTGGGTCGCAGTGCAACTGGCAGTGGAACAGATCCACGGTCTTAAGCGTTTGACGACGCAGCGCGGCTGAGGCGATCCGCGCGCGCGCTCCAGCAGGCCAAAATGGGGCGGCCACTGTGAGCTGTCGGGCCACAAGAGGGGAGGGGGACGGAGGGCGGCCGCGGAGGGCGGGTGAAGAGAGGAGGGCGCCCACTGCACGACGACCTCTTCGTCGGGAGTGGCCGCTGCGGCCAGGCTGTGCCGAGGCAGCCTGGCGGTGGGCGCGGAGCAGCATCACGGCCACACCCGGGGGCCGAGGCAGAGACTGCACGCGCAGAGAGCGTGGGCCAACTTCGAACCAGCACAGAGGGGGGAGGAGCGGCGAGCGAGGCCGCGGGAGCGGGGCAGCATCCGGGTGCTCGTCGGAAGGCCGTGGGTGACAGGCGCTGTGCTGCAGCTGCGGCGCCAGCGGGCTGCGGAGAGCCCCAGGCGACCACGGGGGCCCGGGCCAGGCAACCAGCTCGATGCAGCGAAATGCCGCTGTACTGCCGTGCTGAGCTGCTGAGAGCAGAGCTGCAAGTCTGCTGGCTGCAGAGCCACCGAGGGCTGCAAAGCAGAGATGCAATACTGCAGGGCGCTGCAAAGCAGGAGGAGGGAAAGGAGCAGGAGGAGAAGGAGGGAGGAGAGAGGAATGCGATAAGGAAAAAAGAAAAAAAGGCCAATGATGATGAGGAGGAGGAGGGGGAGGAGGAGGGCGAGAAGGAGAACAAGGAGAACAAGGAGGGCGAGCGAGGAGGAGGAGGAGGAGGAGGGGGGGGGAAAGGGTGAGGCAGGAGAAGCACCAAAAGCGGAAGTCGGGCTCGAGGAAATAAGATGGGAGGGAAGGACTGATTGTTGATAACGATATGACGATGTAATGATGGTGGTAACGATGATGGTGATGGCGATGATGATGATGATGATGATGATGATGATGATGATGATGATGATGATGATGATGACGATGACGATGATGCTGATGATGATGATGATGATGATGATGATGATGATGATCATGATGATGATGATGATGATGATGATGATGGTGATGATGATGATGATGATGATGATGATGAGGAGGAGGAGGATTATGATGATGATGCTGATGATGCTGATGATGCTGATGATGATGGTGATGGTGATGATGATAATGATGATGATGATGATGATGATGATGCTGATGATGCTGATGATGTTGATGATGATGATGATGATGCTGATGATGAGGATGAGGATGATGATGTTAATGCTGGTGCTGGTGATGCTGATGGTTTTGATGATGATGATGATGGTAATGATAGTTTTAATGGTGGTGGTGATGAAGACGATGCTGAGGATGACGGTGATAGTAATAATGGTGATGGAGGATGGTGATGATGATGGTGGTGATGATGATGATGGTGGTGATGGTGATGAAGGTGGTGGTGGTGAAAATGATGGTGGTGATAGTGGTGCTGATGATGATGGTGATGATGAGATTGATGATGATGACGATGGTGAGTTTAGTGGTGGCGCTGTTGATGATCGTGATGATGCTGGTGGTGATGATGATGGCGGTAATAATGATGGTGATGATGACGCTGATGATGGTGGTCATGATGATGCTGATGATGGTGGTGACGAATGTTAAATGATGATGGTGGACGATGACCCTGGGGCACTCTGTTCCTGACCCGCCAGGGGGGAACCCATCATGCCGACGATCTCTCGAGGAGGGTGCTGAAGCCAGTAGACCCCTCGAGTTGGCAAGGAGCACCCCCCAAATGGCGGCCTGGTCTGCCGATCACCACGGCCCGAAGAAGCCGTTGGCGTTCGCGAGGACCGACCCGAAGAAGAGGATGGTGATCGAGATCACGTAGTTGTTCCCGCCCACGTCCCCCAAGCTGAAGCCCGCGGGCGGCGGAGGGGTGGTCGTCACCGGCGGGCCGCCGAAGAAGTGCATATCCTGCAGGGCACCATGTCAGTCCGATCTCTCGCGCGCGCGAAACGCGCGCGATCAGGGCCAGGGACTTTGGATGTTGGCTGCCAAAGCTGACCGTGGGCCCCTTGTTTCAGGCGCCCTGCTGGCGGTCTCCAGCGGTTCCTGGCCGCCCTCGGTCGCCCTGTGCTACAGGCCTCCCAGATGGGATCCGAGTAGATAGAGTCCGAGGATCGCGCCGCTTCGCCAGTGCATCGCCGATACATCGCAGATGTATCGGCGATGCATCAGCGACGCTGGCGGTGCATCGGCGACGTCGGCGTGAGAAAACACGGGTTCCACATCGAGCCGCATCACCGATGCATCGGCGATGCGGCGCGGTCCTCCGACCCCATTCATTTGGACCCCATCTAGGAGGCCTAGACAAGAGGCGGGCCAGGAAAAAAGGGGGGGCGCGCATCAGGGCCCGAGGCATGCGCGCTGACGAATGGTCATGCCATGGGACGCGCTGAAAAAAGAGGAGGGGTGGGAGATATCATGGCCTTGGCCATGATATCCACACACGCGACCGACCAGGCCAGGAGCCGACATACCCACCGAGATGCCCGTCCCGAAAACCAGGGACTCTGCAGAGGCTCGGTGGCGGTCGTGGACACTCCCAAAAAATCACGGGGCGGGCAAGAAGGGTGGCGGATGATGAAAAAAGGAGGTCCTGGCGACACGAGGTCGCCTACATTCGCGCATCGCGCCCCACGATGCGCAGAGCTCATCCGGGGGGTCCGGCCCTTCCCGGGCTCTTTCTGGAGGTCCACGACAGCCTCTGGGGCCGCCCAGGAAGCCCCCCAAGACGGTCCAAGAGGGCCCCGACGCCCAGGATGGCCTCAAGACGGCCCCAGAGACCTCCCAGACGGCCCAGGAAGCCTGCAAGAGCATCCCCCAGACGCGCCCAAGAGGCCAAAATAGACGAATTCCAATAGAAAACCTACATTTGTATCATGCACGTTTTTTCGGCCTTCGCGGCGTTGAAGACGGCCCCACAGTCCCCCAAGACTGCCCCAAAACGGCCCGACAGGTCCCCAAGAGGCGCTCGGAATGGCCCAGCCAAGGCGGCCCAAAAGGCTCCCAAGACGGCCCAAGAGTGCCCCAAGACGGCCCAATGCGGGGCTCAAGAGGAGGAGCCAAAATCAACGATCCGAGCCTTCCGCCCCAAAACGGCCCCAGGGGGGCCCAAGAGGCGCTCGACAGGGCCCATTGGGCCCCCAAGAGGCCCCCCAAGAAGCCCCAAGAGGACCCCAAGAGGCCCCCCAAGAAGCCCCGAGAGGCCGCCAAGAAGCTCAAAAGAAGCCCCAAGTACCACTTGAGGCATGCAACTTCCAACCCGCAGCCCAGGCACCAAGGATCTCAGGCCGACATCCAAGGCACGGTGGCGGGATGGGCCGAAGGCCACTGTACACACACACATATATATATATATATATATATATATATATATGTGTGTGTAGATATATGTATATATATATGTGTGAACTGCCGCCGGCAACTACCTCGATCGAGGAAGAGAGAGAGAGAGAGAAAAAAAAAAAAAAAAAAAAAAAAAAAAAAAAAAAAAAAAAAAAAAAAAAAAAAAAAAAAAAAAAAAAAAAAAAAAAAAAAAAAAAAAAAAAGGCCGAGGATGAGGAAGAGGAGGAGGAAAATAAAAAACAACAAAAAAAGATTTCGTCGTCGCCGCCGATGTCTCACAGACTTTCGTGGTCTTTCGACCACCCGAGGCATCTCCTCGAATTCAGCCTCCAGGAACCGTTTCCGGTGCCGGGGACCACCGCCGAAAGTCTGGGATGAGGATCGACCTCCCTGGCAGGTGCCACCCCTTCGCGAAAGAAGGAACACGGGGTGGATCGAGGCTCGAGGCATGAGACTCCTAGTTCTTGGGCGCTCTCCGCCCTTTCTGGGCCTTCACGAAGCTCCTCGTCGACACAGCTGGATCCACTCTCGAACTTCTCGCCGGACGCAACCCCAGCTGGGTCTCCACGATCCCCGAGCCTATCCAGGAGGTGGAAGAGGAGGCCTGGAACAGGCCTAGTGAAGGCCCCAAGAAACTCACATAAGACCACGACAAACTTCAAAACAATCCCCTACAAGGCCCCCCCTTGAACCCCACACACTACGTAGAACAGGCCGAAACCCCAAGATTGCCCAGCGATCGCGCTCGTTCCGCGAATTCGGTCTTTCACTCTTGCTGCCGCACCTACCTGTCGGCGGTGCGCCGTGAGCCAATGAATCATCTTCGCGTCCCTGGGGGGACCTGTTCGATTCAGCTTACGCACCTAGCCTCACCATCGCCCTCCGGCACCAAAGACGACGATGCATCGAGGAGAGCACTTGGCGTCGGGGACGAGCCTGCTGCACGCAGCAAACTTCGCACCTCCCCCATTACGGTCCATTCTCCCCCCCCCTTCGTCCGGCCCAGCACTGGAGCCAAGAGGGGAGACTGGCGGTGCGCGTCCCAGTTGCCGGGCGGACGCCCGACCAGAGCGCATACCACAAGCACCTTTCGCGTGCTCCGAGCGGCATGGCCAGAAAACGCCCGCAGGATGCAAGCCCCCTGGACGCCCGTGTCGAAGCTTTTACGAGCGCGGCGGACCCTCGGAAGTAGTCAAGGACGGACCAAAGAGGCACGGATGCAAGGGTACCCGTGGGAAGGTTGCCTGTCCCTACCGTCGCTGTCGACTGCACAGGGATGTCCGACGGGCATGGCACGGGCGCGGCCGACGACGCTCCCGACCGCCCGAAGACATCTGGAAGCCCCCGAGAACCTCCCTGGACCTGCGACGACGCCGCCGCCGCCGCCGACGACAACGACGACGACGGCGACGGCGACGATGACGGCGGCGGCGACGACGACGACGGGCGCCGCGCAGGCGTCCACTGCGGGGGCGCGCTGGCCGGCGCGCAGGCCCGTCGAGGCCGGGGAGGCGCCGCCGACGAAGCTCAGCACGGCGGAGCCCAGCGTCAGGGCGGCGACGGCCTCGGCGCGCCCCGCGCGGCCTCGCTCCCGAGGAGGCTCGAGCGCGAGCCGAGGCGCGCGGATGAGCGACGGGCGGCGGGCCCCCCCGCACGGTCCCTCGCACTCGGCGGGCGCCGCGCGCTCGGGGCGCCTCTGCGCCGGCACGCCGAGGCGCCCCTCCGCGGGGCGGCGGCGCCCGGCCGCGGGCCGCGCCGAGGGGGGGTCGTCGCTGGCCCACGCGCCACTAGCCGCGCTCTCGAGCTTCCTCGAGCGAAGCGGGGCGTGATTCGCGGAGCGCGACATCGGAGGGGGAGGAGGAGGAGGAGGAGGAGGAGGAGGAGGAGGAGGAGGAGGAGGAGGAGGAGGAGGAGGAGGAGGGGAGGAGGGGAGGCGGAGGAGGAGAGGAGGAGGAGGAGGAGGGAGGAGGAGGAGGGAGGAGGAGGAGGAGGGAGGAGGAGGAGGAGGAGAGGAGGAGAGGGGGAGGAGGAGGAGGAGGAGGAGGAGGAGGAGGAGGAGGAGGAGGAGGAGGAGGAGGAGGAGGTGGAGGAGGATGTGACGAGGAGGAAGAGGAGAAGGAGGAGGAGGAGGAAGAGGAAGAGGAGGTGAGGAGTGGAGGAGGTGCAGGGCACCCAATCTGGCCTGGAGCGCCGTGCGCGGAGCGCGACACCGGCGCGCCACGCGGGTGTGACCCAGGGTCCCCACCCTGCCCGCCCCCCCGTGCGAACTCCGCCCGCGCGTCCGTCTCAGCGCCCCCGCTCCTCAGCGTCCAGGGCTCAGCGGCTCAGGCTCGGCTGGCGCTGGAGCTTCCACGATGTCTCTCCGGATCGGCCTGGATATCTCTGGATTTGCGCCCTGGACGTCCCCCGATCTATCTGGCTTGGTCCCCGCAATTCAATCGGAGAAGAGGCGTCAAGCCCTGCAACTTGGCACCGCGCGACGGCGACGACCTCGGCCCGCCCGTTCGGGCTGCTGCTGGCGCGAGCGCTCGAGCGCTGGAGCGCTCGAGGATCTAAGTTTGAGGGCGCCCGGCGTCTTTTCGGGGGGGGCGGGTGCCGCTGGGGGCGCTCTGATCGCCGCGCCCGGATTCGCCTCGGGATGCTGGCCAGGACGCACCCAAGGATGGGCCCGGGGCTCGGATTTTGTCCCTCTGGGCACCCACTGAGCGCGCGAGCGCGCGCCAGCCGATGGCACGAGCAGGAGTGGGCAGCCGATGGCGGCGGCCGTGGCTGAGGCTCTGGGCGCCAGGGTCGAGGCACGCAGCGTAGGCTCAGGGAGACACGGTCAAGACTGGCTGATGGCGCAAGGCGTCGAGGCTGCCTGACTGATTGCTCCCTTGACCACTATCGCTGCTCACTCCTTCCTTTTCGGTTCTCCCCTGCCCCACTCCTTGCTTCCCACTACCTCCTTCTCTTCCTCCTCTTCTTCCATCCATTCCCTTCACCATCCTCCTCCTCCTCCTCCTCCTCCTCTTCCTCCTCTTCCTCCTCCTACTCCTCCAACTCCTCCTCCTCCTCCTCTTCCTCCTCCTCCTCCTCTTCCTCCTCTTCCTCCTCCTACTCCTCCTCCTCCTCCTCCTCTTCCTCCTTTTCCTCCTCCTCTTCCTCCTCTTCCTCCTCCTACTCCTCCTACTCCTCCTCCTCCTCCTCTTCCTCCTCCTCCTCTTCCTCCTCCTACTCCTCCTCCTCCTCCTCCTCATTCTCCTCCTCCTCCTCATCATCATCCTCATCATCACCGTATGGAAGGCAGTTGGTTTTGAACATGTATATCCCCCATACAGGCGCGAGCGTCCGTCTTAAAAGCTTACAACAGCTGCACGGATCAGTAGCGGCTCCTTCTCTGAAAGCGAGCATGGCTTTACACGTCTTGGACATGCACGACCAGGAGCATCACACACACACTCACACACACACACACACTAACTAACTAACTAAATAACTAACTAACTAACTAACTAACTAACTAACTAACGAAAACACACACACACAAACAAACAAACAAACAAACAAACAAACAAACAAACAAACAAACGAAAACACACACACACACACAAACAAACAAACAAACAAACAAAGAAACAGTCAATCAAACAAATAAACAAATAAACAAATAAGCAAACAAACAGAACCTTCGCGGCTGCAAGGCGCCACGTGATCAACGCGGGGCTCTCGCGCGAAGACGTCATCTGCTTGCTGGACCAGGACTGCCAAAGTGTGCAACACCTAAATATACGGAAAGCACTTTCGGTCCGAAACGGGGCTCTCGCAGATCCCCGCCCAGAACTGTACGATCTGACCTCCATGCATTACTCATGGCTAGGAATGAGCACCGTTTAACCGATCCCCATCCCTAGCGTCGTTGCATGGGCCCCACTGGCCGATTTACCCCCATAGATGGGGATATAGGCCGTTCCCTTCGGGTCTCGAGGTGTGTAGCCCCAACCGGGGGGGGGGGGGAATTCGGTGGGGGTCCCGAAGCGGATGGGGATGATGGGGGTTGGAGTCAAGATACTGAAAGAAGATTCCCGGGTGGGCTGCCTCCCCTCCCCCCGGGGCTGTCCAGTGCGCTGGCGCGGACCCCGTGGGCAGGGCACGCGGTGCGGCCGGGGGCGCGGGGCGCTCGAGAGGCCCCCGCGCAGACCTCTCGTCGAGAGCGAGGCGTGCCCGAGCGGCAGGAACGGTACTCAGAGAAGATTCCCCGCTGGGCTGCCTCCCCCCCCCGGGGCTGTCCGGTGCGCCGGCGCGGAGCTCGGGAGCGGGCAAGAGGGGGGTGCCCAAGAGGGGGGGGTGCAAATCATGACCGGCGGCATGTGCGCGGCCCAGCGGGGGGGCCAGGGACGTATCGAAATGAGAAGGGGCGCCATGAAATCTGGGGAAATATCATGGCCCCCGCCATGATATCCACCCCCCCCTAGTCATCACCCCCCTCTTTTCCGCCCCCGAGGAGCCCGCGGGCAGGGCACGCGGTGCGGCCCGGGGCGCGGGGCGCTGGAGAGGCCCCTCCCGCGCAGGCCTCTCGCCGAGAACGGAGGCGCGCGCGCCCGAGGGGCAGGCCCACGGGGCGAGGCGTGAGAGGAAGTGCGGAGGAGGAGGAGGAGGAGGAGGAGGAGGAGGAGGAGGAGGAGGAGGAGGAGGAGGAGGAAGGGGAGGAGGAAGGAAGAGAAGGGCGGACCGCGGGGTGCGATGCAGTGGAGGCCAGCCCACAAGAGAGCTTCCGCGAGGAGCCCCACCCTGGAACCCCGGGGCGTCCATCGGTTTCTGGTGGTGGGGGGGAGCGCCACGCCGTCCACGGCGAGGCCGGCGGAAGCGCAGAAACCCGGGGCACCCTGGAGGCAGGCGGGGCGTTCCTTGGCATGGGCCCCCCCTGTACTCTGGTCCTCGTCCTCATCACCATGACCATCCCTCCCATCCCGCCCCTTGCCGCCCCACTCTCAACATCATCGGCCTTGCCACCACCCGCGGAAGGAGGAGGTGGAGGAGAGAAGGGGAGGAGGGAGGGAGGGAAGGAGGGGGAGCATAGCATCCCCACCGAGGTCCCCGCTGCGACGGCGCAGGCGAAAAGCAGGGACGCGGAGCGAGCCATTGCGCAAGCTTGCCCGGCACTTGACGACTGAGCGCGCGAGGTAGTGAAGCAAAACGCTCGCCTCAAAAGATCTTGAGGCAAGGGAGGTGTGCACTGCGGTTACCCCGCGCCCCTCCTCTCTCCTTCTAGCCCATCCTCCCTCTTCGCCCCTTCCTCCTCCTCCCTCCCCTCCCTCCTCCCTCCTCCTCCACGTCCTCCTCCTCCTCCTTCTCCTACCTCCTCCTACCCATCCTCCTCACTCTTTACACTTCTCCTCCTCCGTCGTGATCCCACTCCTCCCCCTGCTCCCAACACCTTCGATGTCGTGATTGCTCCCCGACGTGCACCCCTCGAAGTCTGCACCTTTTCCACAGGATCGGCTTCTGAAGCCGAAACGTCGTTGACAGCCCTGGGGCCCGGTAAGGGCCCCCGAAGGCAGAAACCCTCGAAACAAATTGCACCGAAATTGTTCGCCACGCAAGAAGGTCCCTGTCCTCTCTCCTCCATTCATTGTCCTTATAAATAACTTTCCCCTGTCGCACCCAGAGGCCAGTTTTTGGAGCGGGCTGGGTGTTTCGCCTGAGATTTCCCCACCATTCAGGACCCTAAAGCTTAAAAATGAGCAACAGTTTCACAAATGGATGGCGGGTCGTTTTCAAAATGTCTCGCCTTAGCGCCGCGCGCATTCGTTTTTTAATGTGTAAGGGTTTTACGGAGTGAGGGCGACTCGTTTTTCTAAATGTAGTTATCGCTTTAGCGCAGCGTACATTCGCTTTAAAAAATTGCAAGAGCTTCACGGGTTGAGGACGGATCCTTCTCAAATTGTGGTTCTCGTCTTAGCGCCGCGCACATTCGTTCTTGACAGTTGCAAGAGTTTCACGGATTCCCATGATCAACGTACCAGGTATGGTGTTTGGGAAGGATTCGTGATTATGAGAGCGCAATTGTTACGTTGACTCGCGGTGTTGAAGTCCCAGGAATGACGTTCTTGCATGATTCAGGGTCGTCAAGATGAACCAGTCAGGTTGATCCGTGGCGTGGGAATTACAAGAACCATGTTTTGGCATGCTTCGGGGTCTTCAAAAGGTTGTCTTCCAACGAGGCAGAAATGATACGTTGTAGGGGCCTGTGAAGAGGGAGCGTGGAGGGGGGGTCAGTTCGAACATCGTTGATGACTCTTGGGTTTACACTGGTCCTCATCCTCCTCCACCTCATCACCATCATCATCAGCATCATCATCATCAACATAATCCGCATCCTTCTTCTCCTCCTCCCTCCTCTTCCTCCTCCTCCTCCTCCTCTTCTTCCACCTCCTCATCATCCTCCTCCTACTGCAACCCGTCACCTACTCCTCCTCCTCCTCCTCCTTCTCCTCCTCCTCCTCCTCGCCCTCCCTCTTCCTCCTCCTCCTCCCCCTCCTCATCCCCCTCCTCCTCCTCCTCGTCCTCCTCCCAACCTCCTCCCCTCCCTCCCTCCTCCTCCTCCTCCTCCTCCTCCCAACCTCCTCCTCCTCCTCCTCCTCCTCCTCCTCCTCCTCCTCCCTTTCCTTTCTCCTCCTCCTCCGTGGCAGGCTATCCCATCAGGGAGCTCGCATTGGGTGGCCTCGCGGTTTGACCCTGCGCCCGACCATCAGCCTGCCACCATGGCCACCGTGGGCCCCATGCACAGCTGGGCGGTCATGATGCACACTGGGGACGTGGACCTTGCCATGATGCAGTTGGCGTGGAGGTCTCAGTTTCGCGCGGTCGCCTCGGTGGACCCCGATGTCAGGTTGAAGCATGTTCGTGGCCCTGCTGGTGCCTGTGCTCGATCGTTGCTGGTGCTGGGCTGGAAGCGTTCCTCGGCCTTCAACGTATGCACGCGGAACGGTGAAGCTCTGGACCTGAGGGAGGTGTCCCCAGCGTTGGTAAAGTGGATCGCTCTCAAGGGCTACGAGGCGTACATGGTGTACGAGGCGTATGCTTGGCTGCAGTGGTCGATGAGCTCGACGTCACGTCATGCCCGAGATCCCTGGGCCCTCGCACGAGGGCCCTGCAGGCGCCCGGCGGTCGCCGATCCGTGGCTTGCTACACCCTGGTCCTAAGGCGAAGAGCTGGGTGCTGGATCCGGTGGCGAGGGCAGCGTTGCGTGCTGGGTGGTCATTTCTCGCAGCGGCGTTTGCAGCGGTATGCTTATTGACTACCTACCAGACCACCCCAACCCAACCCGAAGACCCGAATTTGACCCCAATTTCGGGTTGGGTTGGGGCAAATTGAGGGCTTCGGGTTGGATTGGGGTGGTCTGGTAGGCTTCGGGTTGGGTTGGGGTGGTTGCAATTTGCATGTTGGTCAGGCCTGGTCGGGGTGTGCGTATTGACCAAGGGAGGGCAAATTGAGGGCTTCGGGTTGGGTTGGGGTGGTTTGGTGGGTGGTGACTTATGCCGAGGACGGGAATTGTCAGTACTGCCCTGAGGTGTGTCATCACAGGTGCTGGGCTGGTCATGCATTCAATGGCTTGCGAGAGCACGCGGTGGGTGATGCCATTTGGGCAGCAGCGCGCCGCACAGTCCCTGGTGATCTACTGTCCCCCTCGCAATGACAGTGGTGTTTGGTGCTATGATCGTGGTACCAAGGCCGAGGACTGCTTCAGCGTGACGGGCTCAATTTTCACCGACGGCTCCTGCAAGAAGCTCCTGTACTGGGACGTCGCCGACCGTGCTGGCTGGGGCTTCGTGGTGGTGGGGGACGGCACGTACTCGGGCGCAGCCTTCGTGCCTCTCCCTGGGCTTCGCCACTTCTGGGCGTGCTGAGCTGTACGCGGTGCTGCAGGTTTTGACGGTGGGAGTGGCCCCGCTGCTGATCTTCACCGACTACATGCCACTACTGAAGGGTCTTCAGCGTGGACGGCGATGGTGCTGCTCCCCGAGGCGCTAGAATGTGGACCTCTGGTATCGGATCTACCACTATGTGGACGATCATGGTGGGGTGACCCTTGGTGATGATGCGGACGTGCCTGTCCGCGTGACGTACGTCAAGGGCCGCTCCAAGGATGACACCTGGGAGAGGAGGTGCAACGACCTGGCCGACATGGCGGCCAAGAGGAGGCGCAGGATCCACGACCTCCCTCTAGCCGTCGTGGAGGCGCACGCCGATGCCCTGCAGCACGTGCGCCAGGTCGCCGCGTGGGTCGGCACGTCCTCCCGCATGGTCTTCGACGGCACCGTGCCGCCCGACTGCGACCATGTGCCCAGGCGCCGCGCTGCCCCCCTGCGCCGACGCTGGGAACAGCTGCGGGCTGAGCTGCCAAGGGTCGTTCGAGCCTGCACCCCAGGGCGGGCGCGGCCGCCTCACCGTGAGGCCCTCGCCTTCCCGCACCTGGTGCGTCGCAAGGGCCGAAGATGGTCCTGCGATCGTCGCTCCGCTTTCGCGGTCTCCGCCAAAAGCGCCTCGAGACTCAAGCGGGGTGTTTGCAGGATTGCCGAGGCGGCGGCCCTCCGGGGCTTCGAGGGCGTTTCGCTAGAGGCTTCCCGCGTGGCGTCGGGCTCCGTGGGATTGGGCGCTCTGGAGCTGTCTGCGGGAGCCGAAGGCCCCTCCGAGGCCGGTGCGGCGGCCGGCCCTGATGCGGCCGCCGCCGACGACGAAGAGCCGCCGCCTCTGGCTACCGAGGGCCTTGAGCAGTCCCTGGCTTTTGAGCGGGTGGGGTCCAGGACGGAGGAGGAGCACTGTGACGAGGACCTTGAGGAGGTGGCGGGACGGCGGGCCAAGGCCGCCCACCCCCAAGGCTCCGAGGAGCACGTGCCCCCCCCCCCCGCTACCCGTGCGCGCACCAGGCCTCCCGCCGACGGCCCTGGTGCCCCCCCCCCCTGGTGGGCCTCTGCCCTGCATGAGGGCTCGGGCCTCTGGGGGTCCGCGGCGGGGTTTGTCCTGGGCCTCGCGTGCTGCTGCCCTCCCTGACGTCCCCCTCCCCGCTCAAGGCCCTGTCGAGCCTAGTAGCTCACGAGGGCATCATGTCTGCCTTGCTGGGGCCACCCTTGCATTCTGCCTGCGCTGCGGCGCTCGGGCCCAGCCGTCGGCGTCTCGGTTGAGGCTCTGGGGCCACTGCGAGAGCATTGCATCCAGTAAGGATGCAACCTACCTTAGGTCCCTAAGGTGGGCAAGGACCCCGTCACGGGGGAGTGGCGGGGGGACCCCTGCCCACTTCTCTCTTCTGACGATGCATGCTTTTGGCTTCGTCTTAGATAGCCCCCTCTGGGTCATTTTCCTCACCGTCGTGTTGCGCGCGCTCGTCCTTTTTCCTGCTATTGGCCTGTCTTTGCTTCTGTTATGCGCACTCGTTGTCGGTCTGGTCGTGCCTATTCCTCCTTCTCCTCCACCTCCTCCTCCTCCTCTTCCGCATCTTCCTCATCATCATCCTCAGAATCGTCATTAATATTATCATCATCATCATCATCATCATCATCATCATCATCATCATCATCATCATCATCATCACCATCATCATCATCATCATCATCATCAGCAGCAGCAGCAGCAGCAACAGCAGCATCATCAGCATCATCATCATCAGCAGCATCATCCTCCTCATCATCATCATCTCATCATCGTCATCATCATCGTCATCATCATCAGCATCATCATCAGCAGCAGCATCAGCATCAGCATCAGCATCAGCAGCAGCATCATCATCGTCAGCAGCATCAGCATCATCACCATTATCGTCATATGCAGCAGCATCATCAATATCATCATCATCATCATCATCATCATCATCATCATCATCATCATCATCATCATCATCATCATCATAATTATCATCATCACCATCATCATCAACATCCTCATCATCATCAGCACCGCCATCTACATCATAACGATCATCATCATCATCATCATCATCATCATCATCATCATCATCCTAATCATCATCATCCTCATCATCATCAAACTCATCAACACCGACATCAATCTCATCATCATCACCACAACCATCATCACCATCATCATCAGCAGCAGCATCAGAATCATCATCATCGTCATCATCATCATCATCACCTTCATCATCATCATCATCATCAGCATCAACATCATCATCAGCATCAACATCATCATCATCATCAGCAGCAGCAGCATCATCATCCTCAGCATCAGCATCATCAGCATCATCAGCATCAT